CAGGCAGGCACAAAACCGTAGAAGCGGGGCATGAGCAAGGGACACAGACTGCAGAAGGGCACGGTCGCGCGCACCCGCTGGCGCACGCGCAACTCCCCAACACAGGTCAAGGGCCGTGTCATTCAGGCCCCGACCGCCGCTCGTCAATGTCACGGCCAGGGAACTAGGGTCACACATAAAGCAATGAGGCCGACGGGCCGACGGGGGAGGTGCGAGGGGGTCGGGGACGCCATGCCAATTGCTGTCGTTCTCGGAGTCATCACCCCAGTGGTCTATGCGCGCCCGCTGCGCGTCGAGCAGGAGGGTGGCGCCCATGGGGTCGCCGCCGAAGGGTGTTGCAGCCACGCGGCGCTCTGTGCAAATCGGGCGTATCCCAAGGCAACAACGGGCTACCTCATTGGCAGCTGGAGCGCGACAAAACGTCTTTTCGCAGTCGCGCAGGAGGAGGAAGAGACTGCGCGCACCAAACGGCACATCTGCATGGGAAAAGTTGGCCGCCACTGTGGCAGTACTCCTTCACAACGGCTTCCCACTCAATCTGCGGCCTGTGGCTCAACAATGAGTTCAACCTCTCTGCGCGGCCAGCAGCTGCCAGTGCGCGCTTGAAAACACCCTTCGCCCAACTCGTCTTAGGTCTGCCGCGGCATCTTCGGCCCACCGGCTCTCTTGGCTGAAATGACAAATTCTCGGGGTCGTAAACGCTTTGCCTCACAGTGTCGGTCGTGCTTCACCGAACCAGTGTCCCCATCCATTTGAGCTGTCTCTCCGAGAACATTCTGCTCTTAGGTTGAACACCGGCTTGTAGTAGAACCGAGGCGTTTGTGGCATGGCTGTAACAACAGAACGGTATCTTCATGACTCTTCTAAGGCACCTGTTCTGAAACCCGTCGACCTTCTGGATCTCCGCGGTGGACAGCCACAGCGAATGCAGGTCGCACAAGACCTTACTCACAACGCAGGCGTTGAATATCTCCAATTTTCTAGCGCGGGATACTCCGGAGTGGGACCAGACGCGGCGTAGTTTTTCGAATTCCTCTCGTGCGGCTCCAATTCGGCGATTGAGCTCTGAGCCAGACGTCCCTTCCGACGTGATCGTGCAACCCACGTAGACAATGTTGCTTTTGGAGTTGATTTCGTCGCCGGTCGGCACAGTGATGCTAGCGACGTCTGTTGAGGAGACGAGCTCCAGCCTCTTCCACTTGAAATTCAAACCGTAGACGCTGCCCGCTCGCCACACGAAGTGCATGTACTTCTCTACGTTGCCAGTGTCGACGTCGATCAGAGGAGCGTCATCTGCATATCGGATATCATTGGCATGCGTTTTTGTAGAAAGCTGCGTTCTGGATGTTTCTGGGAGCTTTTGGCGTCGGTAATGAAGACCGTCATGACCATGCTGAAAAGGAGCGGGGCCCACGGGCAACCCTTGCAGATTCCGCATTGTTGGCTCCGCTGGCCCGATCGCCTGCCAGCGTCAGAAACACAGAAGCAACGATTCGCGTAGATCGCCTCGATACACCGCAGGAACTTGACTGGCAAGCCGAATCTCCTCAACGATTGACATAATACTTCTGGCGCGATCGAGTCAAAGGCCTTGGCCAAATCCAAGGCTAGAAGCACCAACCCCTTATCCTGCATTGCGTTTGCCTCCTCAACGATCCTGCGGATGCGGAAGAGTGCGTCGAGGGTGCCACGGCCAGGGCGAAATCCAAATTGACTGTCCCAGATGCGCTCGTCAGCACCAGCTTTGAGCAACCGCTGCAATAACATTGATGCAAAAAAACTTGTATCCGATCTGCAGAAGTAAAATAGGCCTGTGAATTCCCGCAGGGTGATTCCGAAATGGCCTGGGAGCTGGGGGGTCCCTGGGCAAATGGCGCAACATTGTCCACTGAGGGCCGATCGGGGCATCAGCACCGTTCTTTTGCGGCCCACGGCCAGGCCTTGCTGTTGAAAATGGGTTGGGCCCTTCCTGATGACCGCGAAAACAAGAAAATGGCAACGTAAACGTGTCCGCACCCTCCTCCTCCTCCTCCTCCTCCTCCTCCTCCTCCTCCTCCTCCTCCTCCTCCTCCTCCTCCTCCTCCTCCTCCTCCTCCTGTCCTCCTCATGTTCCCCCTTCTCCTACATCACGTGTTTATGTAAATTGCTCTGCCCAGTCGCACCCCTGCGTCTATCCACGCGCCCTGGCAGGAGCGAACCCAACGCTGGCTATATGGTGGTGCCCGCACCCCCGAATATGGAGGGCCGGGCGGGGTTCATGCTTAATTGCGCAATTCAGTGCCAGCAGCGCCCTCACAGGCGCCCAGGACGCGCGCGCCCATAGCAGCAGGGGGGGCGCGTGATGCCCAGGTCGGGGCGGAGGAGAGGATGAGGATGATGATGATGATGATGATGATGATGATGATGAGGAGGAGGAGGAGGAGGAGGAGGAGGAGGAGGAGGACGAGGAGGAAGAGGAGGACGAGGAGGAGGAGGGGGGGCGGAGTGCGGAGGAGGCGTGGACGTTTGTCCACTTCGCCGTGCTACCCCCAGCCTGGGCAGCCAATTC